GGTATCAGAGCGAGGTTCGTTTCGGCTCCGAGGTTTTCCTAGGACGAATACCCTGCTTAAGAGTTTTCCTTTTTTTTCTCTGATCTTTCTTTTTAGATTTTTCTCATTTTTGAGTAGGCTGGCTCCTCGTCGCCGGCGGCCCGCGAATAGCAATCAGAACCGAGCGAGAGGCCGGGCTCGAAACCCGCCTCCCGCGATGGTGGAACCCGGAATTGGGGGTGAAAACGACGGTGATAACCACGCAGGGATGGCCAATCATCCCCTGTACTTTGTACCTCCTCCTTCCGAAGTTCCCATTTTCTCCGAAGATGATACCGACCCTCGCAACTGGCTAGCTGCCTTGAAAGCCCAGGGCTGGTCGGACCAGTTGCTCCGAGAACGAATGCCCGAAAGGTCCGCCGTAACCGCTTTTGAGTGGTATGGACATAACCCCTTCACTAATTGGCTAGCCTTCCAGAGGAAATTTCTCGACCGATTTGATCACATCGCACCAGGTCAATGCCTCCGCCTAATAAAGGAATACACGCAACAGCCTCGGGAGACCTTGGCTAGATATGCTGAACGTTTTACGTACCTAGCCGAACGCTCCGGGGTGGACGAAAAAATGGTACGGACTGATTTCGTCAGAGGATTGTCAGATTCTCGTCTGCGGAAAAAGATCCACAAGAAATGCAACCCTATAGAACATACCCTGACGGAGCTAATTCAATACGCAATTAAGTACGCGAAAGAAAACTACGATGTGGGCCTGGACTCAGAATCCGACGAGGATGACCCTTCGGGGGTTCGACGCAATAGCTACTCCGCTATGACACGAATGTTCGAAGATCGCTTCGGGTTGGGTCCGACAAAAAAAGGCTCGGATCGGAAGGCTTCTTCCTCTGCTTCGACCTCCCGTCGCTCTAGTCAAGCACAAGGAGGCCAGGGCGAGGAAGAAGTGTCCATGAAAGAGGTCGCGGCCCAATTAGTTACGGTAGTGGCCCCGCTGACGGAGTTTGTTCAGGGCCTGCAGCGGCAACGCATAGCCGCCGCACAACGGCAACAAGGGGCTATGGCCGCCGGGGCCCCTATGATAAGACCGGTCGTGGCCGGGGCTGTCCCGCCCCTACGCTGTTATAACTGTAATCAGCCAGGTCACCTTGCGAAAGATTGTCCGAAACCTCGAACTCAGGACGGGCCCGCTGGGCCTTCCCAAATCCCGCTGGCTGCTCCAACCTCTGCAGGACAGGGGAGGGTGGCCACGGTGATGGATACCGGGGCAACGGAAATGGTGACCCCGGCGGCCACCGAGATAGGGCCCGATGAATACATGGCTGCGGCGATGTTCGAACCCGGGACCATCGGAGTGATACGTCACGTCCAACGGATTACCGAGGAAAGCGAACTCGGGCCGTGGCGACCAGGGTTCGAAGACCTTGCGACACCTAGTCCTGAATACAAGGATGGCCATATCGACGTATTGGATGCCTTGAAGGCTCTGGATCTTCGGATCCCCGTCCCTATTCCCTATCCGCTAACCATTTTTGAAGCAGCTAACGAAAAGTTGATCGAACGATGCCTCAAAAACAGGCGCCG